CCAAATTTGTTTCATCCACATTTCCAGCTTGTGATGATGTGAGATGCTCTCTCAATTCCAAATAATTCTTCTCCTACACCATATGGCCATACCCCCGACACCCTAGTCCCACGCCCCCAGGGAATGAAGACACCCCAGGATGGGAACCGGGGGTCGACACATTTGAATTTTCATGGAATGTTTGAAAAGGATTAACCAAAACTAACATCCACGATGTAATGGCTAAACTCATAAAGACCTTGATTATGTGAATTAAAATAATTTACCATTCGATTCTATCACTACTACTATCATTAATTTTCCATCAAGGTTAAAGCCATTGATTGTAATATTGAGGAATCAGAATCGCCGAATCTCTAGTCTCTAATAAATTTAATTGACAAAAAAATCTGGAGGCAACAAGTGGTTCTTTGATCAGAAAGATCTAGAGCATGTCTTAAAATATAGATTTTTCAATCAGGCACATTTGTCAAATTCAACGATAGACATAATCAACAAAGAATTGTCAAAAATGTACATGTATTCCATGTGTTTCTTATTTATTATATTATCGATGTTCTGCTCAGGTCAGATCTGCGTTCTGTTGTCGCCATGCGGTCAGATATCCTGCGATGTCTTCTTACAACACGAGAAACTCCTTCCGTAGGCACTCCATGAAAGGGAATAATTTTATTAATGTATTGGGGACATAGGTCTGCACAGTTCCCATTTTTGAGCCAGATGTATGTATTTCTTGCAATTACACTAAAACTATCCGAATTATGACGTCAATATCCCAAAAGCTCCAAAACCCTACATAATATATTTGGGCTTTTAAAGGCTCTTATTGACGATAGTGACACCATAAAAGGCTGACTTTAAGTAGAATAGCAAAAAACCACAGACGCCTGACTGAAAACTAGAATTGCGCAAATCGATGCTATCAGTGTTCCCAGATACACATAAAAAGTTTAGGAAATCTCTTTACAATCTTTTTAAAACGTTTCGTAATGTTTCCTTGATGAACACGGCGGTGGTTCGGCTATGTCTGTGAGATTGTTACTGGGTGTTTGTCAGACCGTCATAGTATTACTATCAGTCATGATTAATTGACAATGTGAATGGTATAATAAAAGTACATTTACAATAAAATATTAGACGGATACTGCTGTTTCCTGTCAGTCATTCTTGACTTAATAACAACCCTCTTGCAGATAAATTGATTTGGTTCTGTTCTCTACAGCAGATATTGCAAATATCTCGTATACCTTGGCCTTGACATACCATATTTAATCTCAAGGGTAAGTGAATTACGAGTCTTCATCGTGTATTCCTTCATCCAACGAACCAATATATATCGTCGTCACCAATGTTACAACTTAAACTTTAGTGCTTTTCATTCGGACCCATTGAAGATCGCGTTATATAAAAATCTCTGGAAAAATGATTAGATTGACGGCCCCTGGTGGATCATTTTCAGGTTATATTTTGTAGGACGATATATATGGGTTATATGTCGCCCTGTAAAAACTGTAAAAAAAAGAGAAATATTCAGAGCTCTTCGAGGATTGTGATTTTATAATTTTACCAAAATGTAGTACATGAGAACTGTGATACAACTTCAAATAAGAGAGCAATAATTGTCACACACACTCTTGCCAGACGAGAATGCTTGAGAGTATTTAAGCTCCATACTGCTTGAAGAGGATTGTAGTTATCTCCCTTGTAACAAGATTAAGACGAAACAGCGTGTGTTATTGACAGGTCATGTTGACGAACACCTCTGACCGAGGTCAGATTACTGGGGCGTTCGAGTCTGAAACAAACAGAAATATCGATACGTAGGCATGATCTTAATCCAGTGGTCAGAATACTAAATAATTCTGATCTGAAAATAATGGTCAGATCACCAAAGAGTTCTATATTGAATGCAATGGTCACATCACTAAAGAGTTCTAGTATAAAATCAAATGGTCATATCATCAAATAGTTTTAGTCTAAAATCAATGGTCAGATCACTAAAGAGTTCTGGTTTGAAACTAATGGTTAGATCATCGTCTCTGAAACCGGTTGTCAGATCACTAGAGATATCTGGTCTGAAACCACTGATCAGGTCACGAAAGAGTTTTTGAAAGCAAGGGTCATGACAACAAGGATTTCTATACTGAAATTCTATACTGAAACCAATCCTCAGATCACAAGCTACTTCTGGTCTGAAACCAATTGTCAGATCACTAGGGAATTCTCATTTGAAACCTATTGTCAGATTATTAGGGATTTCTTATCTGAAACCAATTATAAGATCACTGGGGAATTCTTATCTGAAACCAATTATAAGATCACTGGGGAATTCTTATCTGAAACCAATTATAAGATCACTGGGGAATTCTTATCTGAAACCAATTATAATATCACTGGGGAATTCTTATCTGAAACCAATTATAAGATCACTGGGGAATTCTTATCTGAAACCAATGATTAGATCACTAGGGAAATCTTATCTGAAACCAATTATAAGATCACTAGGGAATTCTTATCTGAAACCAATTATAAGATCACTGGGGAATTCTTATCTGGAACCAGTTATAAGATCACTGGGGAATTCTCATCTGAAACCTATTGTCAGATCATTAGGGAATTCTCATTTGAAACCAATTGTCAGATCACGAGGGACTTCCTATCTGAAACCAATGATCAGATCACGAGGGACTTCCTATCTGAAACCAATGATCAGATCACTAGGGAATTCTTATCTGAAACCAATTATAAGATCACTGGGGAATTCTTATCTGAAACCAATGATCAGATCACTGGGGAATTCTTATCTGAAACCAATTATAAGATCACTGGGGAATTCTTATCTGAAACCAATTATAAGGTCACTGGGGAATTCTTATCTGAAACCAGTTATAAGATCACTGGGGAATTCTCATCTGAAACCTATTGTCAGATCATTAGGGAATTCTCATTTGAAACCAATTGTCAGATCACGAGGGACTTCAGTAGGGACTTCCTAACTGAAACTAATGATCAGATCACTAGGGAATTCTTATCTGAAACCGATGATCAGATGATTAGGGAATTCTTATCTGAAACCAATTATATGATCACTAGGGAATTTTTATCTGAAACCAATGATCAGATCACTGGGGGATTCTTATCTGAAACCAATTATAAGACCACTAGGGAATTCTTATCTGAAACCAATTATAAGATCACTGGGGAATTCTTATCTGAAACCAGTTATAAGATCACTGGGGAATTCTCATCTGAAACCTATTGTCAGATCATTAGAGAATTCTCATCTGAAACCAATTATAAGATCAATGGGGAATTCTTATCTGAAACCAATGATCAGATCACTGGGGAATTCTTATCTGAAACCAATTATAAGATCACTGGGGATTTCTTATCTGAAACCAATGATCAGATCACTAGGGAATTTTTATCTGAAACCAATTATAAGATCACTGGGGAATTTTTATCTGAAACCAATTATAAGATCACTGGGGAATTCTTATCTGAAACCAATTATAAGATCACTGGGGATTCTTATCTGAAACCAATTATAAGATCACTGTGGATTCCTATCTGAACCAATTATAAGATCACTGGGGAATTCTTATCTGAAACCAATTATAAGATCACTGGGGAATTCCTATCTCAAACAAATTATAAGATCACTGGGGAATTCC